AAAAAATTCTAAGTCCACAATCGATTTTTTCTAAGTCCGAACTGGTTACTTTTAATTTGATTCGCGGAGCTCTTCTGAGCTTGTGACCGGCGATTCTGAGCGTTGACGTTGAACTGACTGTTTGCTCTGGCGTCGGAAGGTACCTCGACTGAAAAAACGACTCGCACGGAGTTTCTGCGGCGCGCAGGAGTGGGAGTACCACGTTGAAGGGTAAGACTTGCTGCCTGAGAGTGGGGATCACGCGTTGAGCTTGACCCTATGTATTGGGTATAGCGTATAGCTAATACTGTGGTACCCACTACGCCTTTACAATTTGATATTTTTACATTTTTTGATTTTCTAAAATTATTTTCGTTATTTCATGTATTAAAATTTTCGGTTTTGAGCAATTTTTATGCTTGATTGTCACTATGGCTTAAATAGTTCCTTATGGTGTCCTTATGGTACTGCAATTGTTCATTTTTGTCTATTGATTTTGGTTTTTGAATTTTTTTGCAAAATTCATTTTTGATTCTATTTTTATGCTTGTAACATGATTCTGATGATAAAACCTTTTTCCGATGTGTTATAACATTTAAATTGTTAATAACAATCTCAATTGTTAATTTAGGCGAATTTCTCCTCACGTGTCTGAAAGACTTTGATTTATCATAGTTTGACACAAATTTTCAGATTTTTATCTCTGCAATCTTTGGAGATATTTGCAATTGAATATTTGACCTTGAAAAAAGCGTCTATTAGCTTTTTCTGCCATATTTTATAACTTCAAAAATCCAAATTACCGCTTGTTGCATTGGGCATTTGGTCAAATATTTTTTAGTGTTTTTTGTTTTCAAATATGTATGTTTGTTTACATGTTATTACAGCTAAATGTTAAAATTGTCCATTGACCTGATTTTCGACATTTTTCTATTCGCACCTTTTCAATACTTTTCTTCATATTCATTTTCTCTGTATTAAACTTAATTTAGTTCATATTTTTCCTGAATTTTTCCATCGCAATTTTATTGACATGTTAATAAACAACAATGTTGTCTTTTGACAATTTGAATATTTTCTGTGATAACTTTGTAGCTCTTGATTTATAGAACATTTTTGTCTTTAAACATTTTTCGATATTTCCCATAGGAAAGTGTGCAAAAATTCCAAAAGTTTGATCAATCACACAGATATACACTCTGAGTGTGTGCGTAAGTTTTTACAGAATTCGTATCTTTTTTG